ACTCTCCAGGGAGAGAAGCAGATCTCTGGTCACCCAGAGCCTGGATAGTAGTCTAAGGCTCAGGATATTGTTGGTACTGAAAAGGGTGTTGACCTATCTTTCTCTGTCTACTTGAGAACCCGTGGATCAAAGCCAAGAGGAAATGGGAATTTATTATGTAAGATAGCACCCCCAAATCTTAATGTATTAATAGCTTAATACAATAGAAGTTTGTATCCTGCTCAGTGAAGTTCCAGGTAAGTGTTCCTGATCAATAGGTATTGATCTTTCTGGCAGTGATTCAGGGACCCAGGCTCTCCCCAACTTGTAGCGTCACTATCTTCAACAGAGGGCTCCACCAGCCTCCATGAAAGGGGAAAAAGCAGGGAGGAGTGGTACATCTTTATGAGTCAAGCCTACACATGGCATTTGTCACTTCCTCTCACATTCTATTCAGTCATAGGGACCCACCTAACTGCATGGGAGGCTGGGAATTAATATAGCTGTGTGCCTAGGAGCAAGAAGAAATGGCTTTGGTCAATAGCTAGCCAGTCGCTAGAGACACATGCCTTCAGGACAGCACACATATATGTGTGTACACATGTGTGCATTCAGGCACAGATTTAACAAAATCCCTATCAAATTAGCAACATCATTTTTCACAGTATTAGAAAAAACAATGCTAAAAAAGAGAAAAACAATGCTAAAGTTCATATGGAACCAAAAGAGAACCTGAATAGCCAAAGCAATCCTATGCAAAGAACAAATCCAGAGGCATCACATTGCCTGACTTCAAATTATACTACAAGGTTATAGTAACGAAAACAGCAGGTTTTATATGGGTCAGAGGAGAGGAAGCTGAGTCCACGTCAGAATGGTTTCTCTCCTTTCTTTCCATTCTCACCACCACTTTTCTCACCACTCTTTAGTTTTTCCCATGGACTATTAGAAAGAGAATCATCCCTCCAACTGGCCCCTCACCCCAGTCTTGTCCTCTTCCCACAAAACTGCTAGAATGAGTCTTCTAGGGGTAGGAAAGTCCACAGATTGACTGACTTTTGTAAGTTGGTTTTACATGGGCAGAAGAAGGCCATAGCCCTGTTCTTTACTCTTGAAAATACATTATAAAACCTTAACCAGAGCAGACACATTAACAATTAACTTATTTATATTACCAAAGAATTCTTTATTTCTCCAAGTTTTCATAGGTTCCTAGTAGATATCAAGGGGATTTCCTCAAAGAAAACCTTGATTAGAGGAATCAATGAATATAAGCCTAGAGGAGGGCTTAGACATTATTTAATTCGGTCACAATACTTTGAGATTATGTACATTTTGTACATAGAGCAAGATTCACCTGGATTTAGGAAAGTCACACATAGTGTTTTTGGATTCCCACCTTTTCAGGACCTTGATCTACCAATTAACTGCTCCTTCTACTTTATTGATAACCTTTCCTAGGTATTTATTATTTCCCAAGATTTTTGTTTGTTTTTAAATTTTGTTTTATTTTAGATTCAGGGAGTATATGTGCATGTTTGTTTCATGAGTATACTGCATATTGGTGGTGATTGGGCTTCTAGTGTACCCATCATCCAAATAGTGAACATTGTACCTGATGGGTAATTTCTTAACCCTCACCTCCTCCCCTCTTTTGGAATCCCCAGTGTCTATTATTTTCATCTTTATATCAATGTATACCCATTGTTTAGCTTAGACTTATAAGTGAGAAGGTGTGTTTTGTGGCATTTGATTTTCTGTTTCTAAGTTAGTTCACTGAGGATAATGGCCCCCAGCTCCATTCATGTTTCTGCAAAAGATATAACTTTATTATTTTGCATGGCTGTGTAGTATTCCATGGTGTATATATACCACATTTTCTTTATCCAGTCAAGTGTTGATCATCACTCTGAAGTTGGTTCTATGACTTTGCTATTGTGAATAGTGCTGTGATGAACATACGAGTATAGGTATCTTTTTAACATAGTGATTTATTTTCCTTTGGGAGGATGCCCTGTAGTGGGATTGCTGGGTTGAATGGTAGTTCTCTTTATAGTTATTTAAGAAATCTTCATACTGTTTTCCATAGAAGTCGAACTAATTTACATTTCCACCAACAGTGTATTTTTTTTCCCTGTTCTCTGCATCTATGCCAGCATCTGTTGTTGTTTTTTTAATAGTAGCCATTCTGATTGGTGTAGCATGATATCTCATTGTGGTTTTAATTTGCATTTCTCTGATGCTTATTTATGTTGATCATTTTCATGCGTTTATTGGCAGTATTTATTCTTTTCAGAAATGTCTGTTTATGTCCTTTGCCTAGTTTTTAATGGTTTTTTTTTTTTTCTTGTTGAGTTGTTTGAGTTCCTCATAGAATCTGGATATTAGTCTTTTGTCAAAGGCATAATTTGCAAATATCTTCTCCCTTTCTGTAGGTTGTCTGTGTACTTTGTTGGTTATTTCTTTTGCTGTGCAGAAGCTTTTTAATTTAATTAAGTCGCATTTGTCTGTTTTTGTTTTTATTTCATTTGCTTTTGGGGACTTCATCATACATTATTTGCCTATGCCAATATCCAGAAGAGTTTTTCCTAGATTTTCCACTAGAATTTTTACAGTTTCAGGTCTTAAATTTCAGTCTTTAATCCATCTTTAATTAATTTTTGTATATGGTGAGAAATAGGGGTCCAGTTTATTCTTCTGCACATGGTCAGCCGGTTTTCCCAGCACCATTCTTTGAATAGGGAGTCCTTTCCCCATCCCATTTACAATAGCCACACACACACGCACACACACATACACATACACATACACACACACACACACTTAACCAAGGAAATGAAAGATCTCTATGAGGAGAACTACAAAACACTGATGAAAGAAATCGTAGATAACACAAACATATGGAAAGACATCCCATGCTCAAGGATTGGAAGAATCAACATCGTTAAAATGACCATGCAGCCTGAAGCAATCTACAGATTTAACACAATCCCTATCAAATTTAGCAACATCATTTTTCACAGGATTGGAAAAAACAATGCTAAAAAAAAGAAAAAACAATGCTAAAGTTTATGTGGAACCAAAAGAGAACCTGAATAGCCAAAGCAATCCTATGCAAAGAACAAATCCAGAGGCATCTCATTGCCTGATGTCAAATTATACTACGAGGCTATATAACCAAAACAGCAGGTTTTGTCTGGGTTACTGGTACAAAAATAGACGTATAGACCAAGGGAACAGAACACAGAACCCAGAAATAAAGCAACATATCTACAACCAACTGATCTTTAACAAAGTTTTTCCCCAGTGTTTAAGCAAGTTTAAGTATCTTTCATCTTAAATCCTCCCCTTCAGCAGGAACCCTTCCTGCTCCTTGTGATCTGATTCTTGCCTCCTCTACAGTCTCATCTCCCACTGTTTCCTATCTAATCTGCAAAGTACCTCCAGTCTTGCTGAAATCTGCCTCTAGTAGACCATGTGCTCTGTCTTTGTCACTTTGCACAAGCTTCTCTTTTTTCCTGGGTTGCCTTTTCCTCCCTCTCCACACTCCCTGCCTGCCCCCTACTACTAGTAACCCCTGGCCTTCCTTTATGACTCAACACAGGCTTCAGGAGGCCTTTTCTGAGTGAGCATTTCTGGGTAAGATGTTACTTCTCTGTGGCATTTGTCACTGTCTAATTCATTATATATTTACTTGTCTTCCTCCCTGGAGCTCACAGACTCTTTTGCTCAGCACCCCCAGAGCTTGGCACTAGGAGAGACTCAATAAATGAGAGGCGAGTGACTGAATGGATCCAGCTTAATTACACGGGATGAACTGGCTGTTGTTCACTCTGCCTTTGGGGCTTGGTCTCCACGTGGTCTCAATGTTGGTCATATTTCAACCAGTGGGATTCTTGTCTTGAATGTGGGTGACTGAGGCTGGAGAGGTGGAAAAAGTGGCCGTGTTCTATGGAATTGAGCCCATTCCCCTCAAACACTGGAGTCTGTGTCAATGTCAAGTCCACAGATGTGCACAAGGGACAGAAATCTCCCCTCTCCTTCCTGCCAGGGAAGGCTATTTCTTCCATTTCTGGCCTCACTCCACTTCATCCACACTATTCTCTGGGGAAGTTTGGGGAAGGGCCCACACTGCTCATGGGCCCTTTGTTTCCTGTGGTGAGAAGTGCTGGATGTGAAAAGCATCCGGGGTGCTCTCTGGCCGGGGCCACAAAACTCGGCCTGGACCCCAGTCTCTGAGTTCAGGGGTGCATCAGGTATTCCTCTGTCCCACATGCTACCTGCCCCCAACTCTGTTGTGAATTCCACTTGGCAGGATTGGAGCATCGGTCTTGTTCAGTGCTGGGTTCCCCAGGCACAGGGTCTCACAAGTGAACGCTTGGTACTTGGTGAATGAATGAAAATAGAGAGAGAGAGAGAGAGAGAGAGAGAGAGAATGTGTGTGCGAGAGAGAGAGAGAGAGAGAGAGAGAGAGAGAGAATAAGAGAAAATAAGAGAAAGAGAGAGAGAGAGAGACACAGAGAGAGAGAGAGAAAGAGAGGACTGGATCGGCCACCAGGAGGTCTTGTTCCTTTTGTTAAAATATGTTGGTTCCAGAACTTCTCATTTTGGCTCAACTTTGGCCCTGCTTTAGGCTTGTTAAAAATTTTCTTAGAGTTGCGGTCTTGCTCTGTCACCCAGGCTGGAGTGCAGTGGTGCAATCACAGCTTACTGCAGCCTTTAACTCCTAGGCTCCAGCAATCCTCCCACCTCAGCCTCCCAAAGTGCTGGGATTACAGGCTTGAGCCACTGCACCCAGCCTTGCTTTAGGCTTTTAAAATATCTTTCTTGGATAGCTCAGGGCAGCTTCTTGGGTAGACCCCACAGCCCTGCCTCCCTTGGCCTCCTGGAGCACCTGTAGTGTGCCCAGCTTGTCTCTGCATGTTAGTGCTGGAAGACCCGCATTCTGGGAAACCCCTGCGTTTGGGATATGCTGAGATGGATGATCACTCTGAGCACCTGCGGCCCGCACGTCTCCTCAGGTCCACAATCTGCAGGAGCTCCGGCGAAGCGCCTCACTGGCCACCAAGGTCTTTATCCAGAGAGACTACAGCGATGGGACCATCTGTCAGTTCCAGACCAAATTCCCCCCAGAGCTGGACAGCCGGGTAAGGATGCCTTTTTCTACACTTGGAACCCAGGGCTGTGATGGAACTGAGGTTCTTATTGGAATGTAGTTTTTTCCAGGATCATATGACACATAATATCATAGGACACATAACCTGTTCGGCCACTTCAAAAGGATGAGTTTTAAAAAATCAAAAGGATGATTCTTAATATTGTCTTACTGTCTCCTCATAGAAAGTTAGAGCTGAAGGGATCTCAGGAATTTTCTGGTCTGGCAGCTCTCAAGTTTCAGTTGCCTAAGAATGATGTAGAGAGCTTGTTAAACAAATGGAAATTCCTGAGTCCTGCTGGATGATGCAGGTGTTGTCCAGTGGTGCTGATTCAGCTGTTGGACTGTGGCTCAGGAGTCTCCATTTATTAGCAGCTGTTCTTAACCTTGGCTGTACATTAGACGTTCCTGGGGAGCTTAAAAAATCCCGATGCTCAGACTGCAGCCCAAACCAACTACATTAGACCCTCTAGGGGTGGGGCTCTGGAATCCGAATAGTTTTAAATCCTAATTTTAAAATGAATTTTAATCATGATTATTTAAACTTTAATATTTATTTATTTATTTATACTTTTGTGGGTACCTAGCAGGTGTATATATTTGTGGGGTACATGAGATATTTTGATACAGGCATGCCATGTGTAATAATCACATCAGGGTAAATGCGGTATCCATTACTTCAGACATTCATCTTATGTGTTACAAACAATCCAATTATACTGTTTTAGTTATTTTAAAATGTACAATTAAATTATTATTGATTATAGTCACCCCGTTGTGCTATCAAATACCAGGTCTTTTTTTTTTCCCTTGATGGAAATCCAGGATGGAGTGCAGCTCCCTGCAGCCTCTGTCTCCCAGCTAAGGTGATCTTCCTGCCTCGGCCTCCCAGGTAGCTGGGGTTACAGGTTCGTGCCACCACACCTGGCTAATTGTATTTTTAGTAGAGACGGGATTTTGCCATGTTGCCCAGGCTTGTCTCAGACTCCTGGGCTCAAGTGATCCGCCCTCCTCGGCCTTCCAAAGTGCTGGGATTGCAGGTGTGAGCCACCATGCCCAGACCAAATGCCAGTTCTTAAATCTTAATTTTTAATGAGGAATTCCCAGGTGACTCAGAATCAAGTGGTTCATAGATTACACTGGGAGAATTGCTGGTCTTGTTCAGCTGGTCTTCAGAAACAGTGCTGCTTCTTATCCTCAGCTGCACGTTAGAGGCACCTGCGAATTTGATAAAGGAAACTTGCAGGGCGTCAGCTTGGGTAGGGCAGGGCAGTGGTGATCTTTGCTGCTCTGACCTATCCTCCCTCTTCCCAGACCATTGACTCAGAATCTCCTGGCGGGGGGACTTGGGCATCATAGGGTTTAAAGACTGCTCAGATAATTTAAATGTGCAGCTGGAGCTGAGAACCGTGAAGCCTTTGTTACTAAAACTGTGGCCTGTGGATCAACAATATCAACATTACCTGGGAGCTTGATAGAAATGCAGAATCTCGGGTCCCTCCCTGGATCACTGAATCCGAATCTGGGTTTTAATCTATTCCTTGGGTTATTCAGATATGCATGAAATTTTGAGAAGCTCCACACTAGTCCATCCCTCTCATTTAGCAGAGGAAACTGAGGGCCAGAAAGAAGTGACTTACGGGAGTTAGTAAGTACCAGACGGGCTTAAGTGCCCTGCCTCTCTGCTTTTTCACAGGACTCTTATTTTCTTGCTGACACAATTGCATCTTTCATGAGTACAGATCAAACTGGATGCCTTTGTGATCACAGTCTTGCAGGAAAAGCTTAGAGACTTAAAGGAAGAACTGCAGGCTGCTTTTCCCTTCTCCCTGCCTCGGGCAAAAGGGAGAGCCGGATGCACCATCCCACAGTCTGCTGGGTGGCATAAAAGGCAGTCAGCCAAGGGCTCTGCCCACAGCCTCTGCCTCTAGACTCAGCTAGTTGGGTGACTCATGGACCTCAGACTGCTGTGAGGCATCAGCTGCTGAGTTTTGCTTCTGGTCCAGGAGTGTCCACAGCTCTCATCCTAGGCTGCCCTAGAGTGGGCCTGGGATTGCGGAAGCCAGAAGGCAGATCCCGACCTTTCATTCAGCAGCCCAGCAGATCTGAATGGGTTTGGGAAGTGGGGGCAAGGATGGTCTGTACTGGTAGGACCCCGAGCCAGCTTTTGGAGAGAATGTGGGTCTCTTTCTCATCTTGGCATGCTTGTCCTGTAAAGCGGGGTGACCCGCAGGGTGGAGCAGCAGGGCTTGTGGCATGGACTAGATGGGCAGGATTTTCATAGGATTTTCTCTCTGAGTTCTCCCCAGGTCTGTGTAGGGGGAAATCCTAAGCTTCTAACTATTCTTGGACAAAACTTTTGTCCTAGAGAGGCAGGGAGGTCCCTAAACTGTGTGATCAGCAGTTCTGGTCCTGCTGCATGTGTGGGGAAGAAGGTACTGTAAAGAATGTGAAAAATAGGGCTACGATGTTGACACTTTGACACCTGCTGAGTTTGGAATGTGACCTTCCTGGATGTCTGGTGTTACACAGTGAAAAGCACAGACTGGGGTCAGAGCTGTAACCTTGGACAAGTTCTCTTAGCAGTCACTACGTATTTATTGAGCACTTAGCATTCACTAAATATTTATTGAGTATGTATTAGGCTCTAGAGATACAGGAGTAAACTCATGGCATTTATTTTTATTAGATGGTGTAGAAAATAAAAAAGCAAGCAAATACAGTTGACCCTTGCACAACACGGGATTAGGGGTGCCCATCCCCTGCACAGTCAAAAATCTGGATATAACCTTTGGCTTTCTACAAACTTAACTACTAGTAGCCTACTGTTGACTGGGAGCCTTCTGATAACACAAACAGTTTATTAACACACATTTTGCATGTTATGTATATTATATGCTGTATTCTTATAATAAAGTAAGCTAGAGAAAAAATGTTAAGGAAATCATAAGGAGAAGAAAATATATTGACTACTTATTAACTGGAAGTGGACCATCAAAAAGGTCTTCATCCTCATCATCTTCATATTGGGTAGGCTGAGGAAGAGGAGGAAGAGGACAGGTTGATCTTGCTGTCCCAGGGGTGGCAGAGGCAGAAGAAAATTCACATATACACGGACCCACACAGTTCAGACCCATGTTGTTCCAGGGCCAACTGTAAATATACCTCGCTCAGGAGATAACAAATACTAGAAGAATAAGGGGAGGATGTTAGGCGGTTTGGGTGTCCTGGGGAGAGGTGAATGATCCTGGGCACAGGGGGAGGCTGTTGAATAAGGTGAGACCCGTGGGTGTTAAGGGTGTCATGGCAGCCTGCAGGGGAAAGTGTGGCAGCTGAGGAGACAGACACAAAGGGCCTGAGGCAATTTCAAGAAGCAGGTGTACTGAGTGAGGAGGAGAGGAGATGGGCCCAGGGGTAGCAGGGTCAGGCCATGGAGGGCCTAGCGGGCATTGTAAGGACTTCTTGGATTTTACTTGCAGAGAGATGGGAAGATTGTGGGAGCTCTTGATCACAGCTGTGACATAATCTGACTTTAACAGGAAGTTAGGGCAGGAGCAGGGGCAGGGAGGCCGGTGAAGGGGCCAGAGATGGTGGCAGCTGGAACCACAGAGCAGTTCGTGGTCTGTGTGGTCTTAGGCCCACAGAGCAGTCCTCACCTGTAAAATGGGGATGACAGTAGTACTTTTCTGACAGAATTGTTATGAGGGTTAAATGAAAGAGTGCATTTCCTGGCACATAGAAAGTACTTAATACATATTAGCTATTCCTGTTATGGATACGGGCAGGACAGCTTCTCAGGTGTCCAAACACACAGGGCTGTGGTGTTGTGGGTGACCTCTGAGCTAGAAATGCCCCTTCCTGGTCTCACTGAAGCAGTCTCATGCAGTCCTATCCAAACATGGAGAGCCCCTATGAATTTAGTCCTGAGCTCTCTCACAACCAGCAAGATGGGACGTGTCAAAATCACTAGAAAAGTTGTTCTGATCTTCTGCAGAAAACATCTAGGATATCATGGGAGTTTCCTGTTTCCAAGGGAGGACAAGCAGCCATTCTTATTCCCATTTTATAGATGAGGAAACTGAGGCCTAGATGGTTAAGCTGTAAGTTCAAGGTCACGCAGCCCCCCAGACATGATGGCCATGTCTGGACTGGCCCCCCAGTCTCCTGACTCCCAGGCCAGTGCTCTTTCTGCTCTGCATGCAGCCTCTTTGGTCTTACCTGTGTGCCAGTGTCATCTCCCCCATCTACATGGCCCCACCATTGTCACCCCCCGCCCCACCTGTGACTGTGCACACTCCAGGGAGGCTAACCACAGCCTGGCTCTGTCCCCCTCTCCCTCCAGATCGAACGGCAGCTCTTTGAAGAGACTGTGAAGACCCTCAACGGCTTTTATGCAGAGGCTGAGAAGATTGGGGGCAGCTCCTATCTTGAGGGCTGCCTGGCCTGCGCCACGGCCTACTTCATCTTCCTCTGCATGGAGACCCACTACGAGAAGGTGGCCCCTCCCGCCCCACCGTGCGTCCCCTCCCTCAGGGCTGCCCTGCGGCACGCTCATCCTTGTCTGGCTCCTCTTTTTGCAGGTTCTCAAGAAGATTTCCCGCTACATCCAGGAGCAGAATGAGAAGATCTTTGCGCCTCGAGGCCTCCTACTCACAGACCCCGTGGAGCGTGGGATGAGGGTTGTATCCTTCCGGGCTGTTCTGTGTGAGGGCACAGGACTGCCAACCGGTAGAGATCCCGGTGCGGCTGCCAGGAAACGGGGCCACCTTAGGGGCCCCCACTCAGGTTTTCCCAGGATTCCCCACATCAGTGGTCCTCAGCCCTCCTCCGCCACCATAAGTTATTGGAGGCTTTGTGAGTTTCAGGGTTTGCACTTGTTGGGCTGCATGTAATCAGTGCTTAGAATATGCCAGCTATCATGTGAAGTGCTTTGAAAATATGAATTCATGTACTTCTCATAACAATCTTACCAGGTGGGTTGCTCTGATTATTCCCAGCAACCTGCTCAGAGTCGTGCAGCTGGTGAATGTGGGAGCCAGGAATTGCACCCAGGCTCACCCTTAACTGCAAAGACCCCTCCAGGAATATGCAAATCACCACATTCATTTACAGGTCCTCGGTCTCATGCGGTCCTCATGGAATTTCCCGTGGCAGGTCCCATTGTCCTCCTTTCGCAGATGAGAGACGTGAGGTCTAGGATGAGGTGACTCCCCCAAGTTCTCAGTCCTGGTGAGAGGCTGGACAGGGATGGGGCGTGGTTCTGCTGACTCCACCTCCACTTGGAATAGTGTGATCTGGGTGTGCACACATCCCTCCCCCCAGGCAGCAGCAACACGAGTAGAATTGCTAAAAAATAAAGTTTACTGGAAAACTGAGGAGAAACAGAGTCAAAAAACCACAAACACCCAGAATCACGTGTTGACAAAGCCCAGTGAGAGGCACTTGTTTTTATTGAGCCTTTGCTATGTGCCAGATTTTGTGCTAAGTGCCTTACATACATTTCATCTAATCTCCACACTAACCCCTAGATTCTATTTTAATCCCCATTTTGCAGATGCGATAATGGATGACTAACAAGTTAAGTGACTGGTGTAAGGTCACATAGCTTTGTGAGTGCCTGAGTCAGGATTTAAACTCGGGACACTAAAGTCCTCATACTTCCTGTGCAGTAACACCACCTTCCTGGGCACATCTGTGTCCTAAGATATGGTCATTAGACCCACTGGAATGTAAGCTCCATCAGGGCAGCCACCCTGTCTGCTGTGATCACGGCTGTGTGCCCAGCACAGGGCCTGGCCTTATAAGTCTCCCTAATTATTAGCTAAGTAATGTGCATGGATGGGCTTGGGGAGGGTCTAGCTCCCAGGCCTCTACATCCCTACTGTCTAGGCAGCAGCACAAGCCCACTTTCCCACTCCTCTGCCGGACTCCATCCACTGGTTCCTGTCCGACCCCTGCTCAGCAGCTGGGCTCGCAGTTCTCCTTAACCGCCGACCCCAGATTGAGATCTCCATCTATGAGGACCGGTGCAGCAGTGGCAGCTCCAGCAGCGGCAGCAGCAGTGGCAGTGGCAGCAGCAGCGGTGGGGGTGGTGGGGCGGGGGCCCGGTGACTGGCCGAGAGTCCCTGTAGGGAGGTGTATGGCCGGAGTGAGGGCCTCGCAGACCTGCGGCGGCTGCGCTACCAGAGCACCCGCTTCTGAGTCATTCTCTGGGCCCACCCTGCTGCCCGGGGTGGGAGGGAGGGTGACGGGCCTCATATTTCCTGTGGGCCATCAACCTATGACCCCTATCCCTCACCCCCAGCTGGATCAGTCCATTTCCTGACCTGGGGGCTTTCCCTTCCTGATGGGGCTGGTCTGGGCCACACAGAGACAGATCTTCCTAGGAAGGCTGGGGTGGGGAGAACACAACCTAGGCGGCCCCTCTCTTCCACAGCCCCTCTCCCAACCCCACGAGAGGGGCCCCGGTCTGCCACATAGAGGACTCCCACACTGCATGGCCCCTCATCCCCAAACCCATGTCCACCAGGACTCTCTCTCGGGCCCTGTGTCCTGTGGCTGTCTCCCAGTATCTGCTCCTTCTCATGCCCCTGCAGGGCCCCGGCCTGTCTATGATCCTGCCTCCACCAAATTGAAGGTGTGGGGAGACGAGTGCCGTGGTTGGGAGCTGTTCAGCCCACTCCTGACCTCTTCTAGACCTATGGCTTTCCTGTCCTGCAGCCAGAGCTGGAGGCCAGCACGGCCTTGCCAGAAGCATCCAACTTTGAGACTTTGCAGGCTGCCAGGTGCTGGTTGAGGGGCACACGTCCTGGGGCTCTGGGAGGTAATATGGGAGTCTGGAGAAACTTTGCGGAGAGACATAGCCATACGGGGCCCGAACCTCCTGAACTGGAGCCAGTTTCCTGAGATTAGAACCTGTATGTATGCACATGTGAATGTATGTGTGAGTGCACATGTGTGTAAGTGCAGTGTGCCTAAATGTGTGAGTATGCGTGTGTTAGCATGCCTGTGTGTGAGCGCCTGTGTGTGCACCAGTGCACAAATGTATGAATGTGGGTGCATTTGTAAGCACACCTGTGTGTGTATGAGTACATGGGCACACATGTGTGCACAAGTGTGCCTTTATATGAGTGTGAGTGCATACATGTGCATGAGCACATGTGCAAAAGCATGTATGTATGATTGTTCATGTGTATGAGTGTCTGTGTGTATGCAGGTGAGTGCATGTGTGTGTGAGTGTGTTTGTGTGTTCCCCTTGGCTGCTAGGTCAATGACTACTTCTCTGCATCCTGCTGTCTTCACTACCTGAGGGTCCGTGACTTCTTCCCTGCGTGGGTCCAGCCTGGCCCCTGTAAATAAATGTCCAAAAGCCCCTTGCCCCTCCCCTAGGGCTACCAGGGAACGTACTCTAATGCATACATTCTAGTGGAAGAGAAGCTGGGGTTCTAGGAGAGAAGAGCCAAACCTTGGTGGCCTTTGGTGCCCCCTCTCAGCTCCCCATGACAAGACAATGGGGCTACAGACACTGTGTGTTCAGCCTGCCCGGGGGCTGGGGCTCTTTAAGGCTTGGTAGGTGAGGTTTCCGTGGACCTTCAAAGGTGCCAGCAGCCTGCAGGGGAAAGGCAAACTCCCTCCTTGCAAGGAAAGGAGACCTCCAGCCAGTGATGCCTGGCTTCCGAGGCCCAGAGGAGCAGGTGGGATGGGAGCAGCCCCTGGGGCTGGTATCCCGAAGATGAAATGAAGGGGGCTGCCTACCTCAGTTGGCGGGAGGTGCTAAAAGTGGATGTGCAAGACCAGCCACTGCAGGTAGCTCTCTGGAACCAAAGAGAGGCCTGCTTTTCTACCAGACATGGGAGCAGCATGTGGGAAACAAAGGCCTACCCAGAGAGCAGAGAGAGTCCGCCTAGTCCGTGCAGCCTCAGGAAGTCCTGGGCCCACGTGAGTCCTGGTCCAAGGATCCCCCTGGAGCGCTGCAGTTCAGTGGGCTCCACTGCAGCCCCTGGCCACAGCCTATGCCCACCCTGGGCCCCTGTGGGGCTGGGCATTGTGTCCAACCTGTGCATCTCCCATGGGAGGGCTGGGCACAGGCAGTGCCATGTCCTTTTATTTTTTCTTTTTCCAATAAAAGAACTTGCCCAGCATGAGGCTCTGTGATGCTTTCTCTGCCCCATGACAATGGAGGGTCTGTTCTATGCCCCAGGGCCACATGAGGGGATACTCGGCTGCCTGAACCGGACCCAACATGGGGAGCAGGATGAACCCTGTCTTTTTGGAGCTTATAGTCTACTGGGGAGGCAGACACTTCAGCGCCTCTAATCTGGAATCTTTGGGGCACCTGTAGCCTTGGGTGGGGGAACAGGTTGGACTGAAAGCCAGGCCAAAAGTAATCAATGATATCAATAAATGCTCATTTCTTGAGCTCTTCCCCTGGATTGGGTCCTGCTGGGAGCTGGATCACACAGGTCACTCAGTACTGAAGATGAGAAAGTAGCTAGATGATCACTTCTCGGCCTTTTGGCTAAGATCAGGTGTGGAGAAAGTAGCTGGATGTTGGAACCTAGCGGAGTTGTGTCTTGAATTTTATAATTTATTGAGCACCTACTATGTGCCAGATACTTTGCTATAACCATACGTTAGAGCTGGGAGGGGATTTAAAGATCACTTGAATCCTGTCACAGAGGTCCAGAGAGGGTGGGTGACTTGCCCCAGGCCACACAGCTGGTTGCTGATGACAGGGTCCAAGCTTGGAACCCAGGTCTCCTGACTCAGTGCCCACTCTGATACCACAGGATGGCACCCAGATGGGAAGCTGCCCGAGGCTGCAGGGAGACTGGGGTCACACACTCAGGTCTGTTCCTGGAGAGGAGCTCATCAGACTGTGGGGACAATGGCTCCAGCCTCTTGGGTGGGAGCTGGGCAGTCCCCTCTGGGTGGGTCTCATGTTTGTTCTTACTCCCCTTAGGGCAGCTTGGTGCTTGCCTGAGCTGTGCGCAGCCTAGACTCACTCCCTCTGCTGGTACCTGGGCCGTGTGTGGGTTGCCACAAGTGAGGGTGTTCTCTCACATGAGGGCGGGTTCATTCTGTTTTGGGCTAGGAAGTTTGCTCTACCCCGAGGCCAGATTTGAACCCAAGCTCAGCTCTTCGAGAGAGGAGGTCCTGGGAAGGGGTGAGGATTTACTAAATGGGTAAAACCAAATCCAGGTGCTTATCTGACTGACAGGCATTCGACCCTTCCATTTTCAAATGGTAATCATCATAATAATAGTAGCTGATGTTTATTTAGCACTTTCTGTGTGCCTGGCACTAGGCTAAGACTCTCTCTATATAATTAGTCATTCCATCCTCACAGCAACCCTCCATGGCATGGATTCTTATTTCCCATTTTACATATGGGGAAACTGAGGCTCATGGAAGTTAAGTAACCGGGAAGTTGCAGATCTTGGCTTCGAATATAGGCAATCTGACTCCAAACTGCAGGGCAGAAGACAGACCCAGCCTCAGAGACCCTTTAGCAGCTTGAGGGCCTCAGCCATCCTGGGATTAGGATCAGGCAGATTCCCAGGGAAGGACTTGGAGCTATGCCTGGGCTTTGAGGCAGGGCTGGCACCTCCACTTCCAGGGCATCACGGGCGTGTGCATGGGCTGTGCTCGCAGGCATGCGGGACCCAGAGGCAGCCCGGTGAAGGGTAGTGGGGGACCCGACTCACTGCGGGCCTGGGGAGGTGTGGTCTCTCTCTGCCGGCTTAGTTACAGGCAGTGGCCTTTCTGCGGTCTGGCTGTAGCCGTGTCCCTGCACCCACCTTGCCAGGGACAGGCCCTGTCAAGACCCAGGAGCAGCTCCAGCCTCAGTCAAACTGTCCCCCAGGTCCCAAGTGAGGCCCCAGCCACCCAGGCATGCCCCAGGAAGCTCCTGCTGCACACGCTCCTCTCCCTGCACCAGCACCCTGCTGTCTGGCTTCCTTCCTTTGGCCGCAGGCGGGCTGTGTGTGAAACCACAGGGTTTACAGAAGCTCGAGGTGCCACTGAGTGGCAGAATTGTGCACTGCACTCGGGGAACCAAAGGTGGAGGCAGAAAGAACTATGGCTGTTGTGACACATCCCCCACGGCTACCCAGCTGGCAGCCACTGCCACTCGCAGAGACTTTTCTGTGGCTTCCAGAGGTGCAGGGCAAAGGTGGAGTCCGGCAACTTTCTCCCTAGGGCCAGCCCCTGGGCTGTCTTCACGGCACCAGTAGCCTGGGAAACTCCACATCCCTCTCCACACCTCTAGAAGGACTCACAATGACGGGGGACCAGGCAGGAGGCATCACCACCGGGTTTGGGCTTTACTATTCACCCAGATATAAGGCAAGACAAACACCACTCCACATCAGATCTGAATTTGAGCTCTGGCTTCATGACATTAACACATGAAGACTCTTGGAGCCTCAGTTTCCCCAGTTGTAAAATAGGGAGACTAATACCTCCAGAGTTGTTTAGACTCGAGGTGTTCAACCTTGGTGGCAATGAGTGTCACCCGGGAGCATGAAAAATGACCAATGCCTGATCCTATCCTCAGAGATTCTGATTTAATTATTTTGGGGGACAGCTTGGGTGTCAGGATTCTAAAGAGTTTCCCTGGTGATTCTAACGTGAAGGTAAGGCTGACAATCCCTGGTTTTGACAGTACCTATAGCCTATAAGCCTTTAATACACCTCTGAAAATGCCTGAGACCTGGATAAGAAGTTTATGGTTCCACAGAAGCAGTCAGACACAAAAATGAGTATGTACCGTGTGACTGCCCTTATAGGAAACTCAAAGACAGGCCAAACTAGTCTTTGATTGGGAGTCAGGATCAAGATTACCCTGGGTGGGGGGTAGCAAATGGATGGGGACCTGGGGGGCATCTGGGAGCTCAGGATGTTCTGTTTCTTGACCAGAGTGCCAGTTACACAGGGGTGCTCACTTCATGAGAATTCACCGAGCTGTACACTTAGGAGCTGCGTTATTTGTCTGTACCAGTGATATATTTCAATAAAATTCACCCAAAAAAGCCTATTGGCTACAAAATAGGAAGAGAAAGGACAGACTTGAAATTAATATTTTGTTAAATATCTGGAAATGTAACACATATGCCAAACAGACAACTGCAACTCTATGTTACGTGTGTGTGTGTGTGTGTGTGTGTGTGAAAATGTAAGACCCCACTGCTCTGTGGAGGGTGGGACCTCCAAAAGGGAAGGTCCCTGATGCCTAAGAAAATCTGAAAACAGCCCAGGTTCACACCAGGAGTTCTTAACCTTGACCCGACTGCATTCATGTGCCGTTATCTGAAGAGAGAATCTACAGCTTTCAGCAGATTTTCAAAAGGGTATGCAGCCCCCTAAAAAGGTTAAGAACAATTGGTTTTGTGGAGTCAGTGAGAAACTGGCCGTGAATGTACTTGGCATGAAAGAGGTGCTTGGTAATGTCGATTTCTTTCTTTCCTTTCAGAGCCCAGCCTTTGGGGGTTTCCGCATGACCCTTCTCGGGAGACTTCTAGGAGGATTTATTCTCCTGGCAGTGCCGAGGGCAGCCTGCACCAAGCTCACAGTTCTTCCTCCAAGAGGATATTCAAAGGGCCTGTCATTTCAGCATCTGCCGGACAGCAGAACTTTGTGGGCAAGATCCTGGAGCTGCGTTGGGTCTTGAATCAGGGACAATGGAAATAAGTGGGAAGGTGTGAAGGGAGTCAGAGGGCTGTGCCAGCCGCCCCCCTTCCCACCTCCAGCAATTCACTTAACTTTCCTGAGTCTCAGCTTTGTCATTATGAGAATACATATATTTATAAATAATCATCTGTTTCTCCAATGTAAGATATTATTGTTATTGCAGAAGTGATACTAGGGTCTCATTATACGATGGCCTCATGATATAATTTATAGCAGGCTTCAGATTCTGGCATAGAATAAACAGATACTTATCCAAGGGTTCACTAATTCCCTAATAAATGCCAGGAACATTCATGTACATTATTATTCCATTTAATTCTCGAACACTAGGGTGTTGAAATCTTATTTTACAGATGAGGAAACTGACGTTCTAGGTGGTTAGGTAGCTTGACAAGGGCTAGTAAGTGTCAGAGCAAAGACTTGAACCTAAGTCTCTGACTCCAAATCCCACTCTCACTCTGCCACAAGAGTGAGATGTGGGAGATGAGAGACTCTGTTCTACCTGGATTGACTCATAAAGATAGAAGACAGATTCCAGACCAGAGAGAAACTCGTGGGCAAATGCATCCCCAGAAAAATTAGCTTTGCAGGGGCATGAAGGTACTAGTTATTTTACAGTAATTCAAGTTATTGATTTCTGTAATGGAAAAGTGATTGGGAACCAGCTACCACGTGAGAACAGTGCTGAGTGAGTCCCCAAGAAGGGGGAAATGTTACACACAAGCTTACACACAGCTTACAAGACCTCAGAGATGGCGAGGGTCCTTTTCCCTGCTGCCCGCAATTAATCAGTACACTCCTCAAGGGCAGGGAGCCTGTCTTACTCACTCCCCCACCCTCACTCTCACCTCTCCTGTCCTAAGTGCTTGTCACAGGGCCTGGCCCTGGCCAGGTGAATGGAAGATTCTGCCCATCTCAGGCTGGCAGGAAGAGGTGAGCATATACAGATGTGTCATCTGCAGACCCGTGGGGCAATGTGCCACTGAGAAGCAGCTCAGAACCATGCAGACAGGCAGTGGTCACTGAAGGATACAATTCACCTGCAAGTGGTCACCTTATAACTCAGTTAAAGGGTGGATGAGTGACCCCAGGCCACCCACTGAGCTGGGCAGCAACTCTCAGTGATGTTGCCCTGGCTGTGACATTGTGACTCTGCTCATGACCTCTACCTATCCTGGGAGAGGAGGGGAGGAAGCGTGTGTCCCACCCCAGTCAGCCCTGCCTGACACTCCCCAAACACCATTTCGAGGTGGGGAAATCCTTCTGGTGCTGAATGCTTTACCTGAGAGATCTGGGCCTCAGGCCCTAGAGAGTGAATTACTGTGAGTGAATCGCTGGCTGGATGGCTGGCTGGCTGGCTAAGTGGATGGATACAGAGAAGATGGGTGTAGAGAGATGACGGATAGATGAGAGATGAGCGAGAGGCCTCCCTGGCTTGAGATGGATGCTCGCAGACCCTGGAGAGGCAGGTGAATGGATGGGTACCGATCGCCCCTGGGCTCCCCAGTGCAGACCTAATATAGGGCTGGAGCTCTTCAAAGGGAAGGAAGATGTTGTGTTATCCCAGTCCCTACATGAACTCCACATTTGTAACTCTGAGTGATGGATGTGTCTTGTTGGAAAGAATCCTTATAGGTCTAATATTGCCCCAGCTAATGGCTTATGGATTGTTGTAAAGTCAGGCATTGCTGGAAGTGAAGCCAGGAGGTTAAAGGTCCTGGTACAGATTTTATGACAATATCTGCATTTCATCAGTCAGGCACTGCAGCAAGTACCTTATAGGCTCGATGAAGCCTCACAACAACTCTATGAGGATTTTATCACTGCCTCCATTTTGTGGATGAAAAAACTGAGGCTCAGAGATGGAAAACCTTCTTAAGGCCACTTCCGAATGCCTGGGTGGAGGGTCTGGCCTTCAAGCCCATTTGATCCCAGAGTTTCAGTGTGAAGGGAAAATTTTAAGGACAGGTGAAAGGGAGAGGGGAGGGCCATAGGATTTGTGCACCGCTCTAAGAAAAAACATGGCATTTTGGCACATGCGAGACACCTTCTGCAGTGGGAAGAGGCGCTGAGACTTTCCAATGACCGGGTGCCCCGAGGGCAGCCCCAGGCTTCCTTCTCCCTCTCTTTCCTCTGTGTCAGCCTTCGAGGGCTCTCAACCTTGAGTCTGGGGACCTGAACTGCAGAGAGGGTGTATGTCTGGCTCACTTTCCTTCCTTTGGCCTAAACTTGTCCTTCCTCATGGCACCCACAAGCAGTTGGGGAACGAGGATGTGCTTTTCTCCTATTCCAGGGGCTCTACAGCCAGGTCTGGGGTGGAGGGAGGGAAGTTAATCCTTAGATTTGTGGGGAGGGTGCTTTAATGACTCTAGGGGATGAGATCCTTCCTGGCTGCTCTGGGGCTGGCCATGAAGAACGAGAACCAGCTACCTTTAGCGGAATTATTCTGGCCCCAGACTGCTTTCCTGCTGGCAGACAGGCAGAGGGCATGAGGTTCTGGGTGGGACATTCTGGGAACGGGTGATACAGATTCTCCATCTGCTGCACCCTTCTCCTGACCCTGCCTTCCTCCTCACAGCTGAGCAGGCTCGTCTCTGCATTCGGGACCTCCATTCAGGTCTGTATTTAATCCCAGCTGAGTTCTAAGGTCTAAGTGTGGTTCTTCTGTTACTTGATGGGCACGTATCCTGACTCAGTTTCCATGTCAGCAGAGCAGGAAGGACAAGCCCTGCCTCTCTTATTCTTGAACTTGTTCATATACTTGGGCTTCTGGAACACTTGGAGCTCTCTGGAGAAGGGTGCTGGGAGCAGCCTGGTGCTGAGCTCTTTTGAGGAGCAGCCGGCAGCCCAGGCAGGGAAAGGGACCAGACATCATCCAAAGCTGATGCCTTGGGAAAGTCATAGCTTCTTTTTGGGCCTTGGTTTCCACGTCTGAAAAGGAGAGGATTGGACTAGATGACTTCTCAGCTGTTCCTGGATTTAAAGCTCTAGGATTCTGTGATTGATGAGGGCCAAATTCCCAGGCCAGTTCACTAGCTCCCGGTGACCTCCGCTCTGTGTGGCCCAGTTCATGCCATGCCTGCCCAGCTCAGTTCACCTTGTTTTATGACTATTATCTCTGGGAATGGCACCGCATCAGAATTCAGCTGAACACAGCACAGCCCAGGCCCCTGGAAGGCTGGCTCTGTCCCTTATGGTCATTTGCTATCTTTTTCTGGTGAATCTGTCAGTTCTCCGGAGGTGGTCCCATCCTCCCCATCTCTCCCATCGCAGGTGTCCCGGGTGGCAGCAGGGTGCAGAGGAGCTTTGGCACTGAATGGGCCCGGGGCTCCATCCTGAACATGGCCACTTAATAATAATTATATCTCTAATTTGTTGGGGACTTTCTATGTGCCAGGAACCATGTCAAGTCTAATATAATAACTTTATGAGGTATTATCCCCATCTTGCAGATGGGAAAACTGAGGTTCAATGACACTTTACCTACTTTAAGTCTTTGCTCAATGCCTCTTTCTCAGGGAGCCCCGCCCTCACCCCGCTATTAAAAATGGCATTCCGCCTCCATCCTGGCCCTCCCAGATGGCCTTGATGTTACTCTTCTCCAGCCCTCCATAGCACGTATCATGCTCCAACACGCTACAGACTTTCCTTATTCTGGGGATTGTTTAGTGCCTGCCACATCTTGCTAGGGCAGGGACCTTTGTCAGTGTTGTTCACATATATATATCCCAAGCCACTAGAACAACACCCAGCACACAGTAAGTGTTCAGTCGCTGTACATCACATGAACAACTGGTTAAATAACTTCCTCAGTGTCAGTTACCTAGAGATTGCACAGCATAAGGCTTAAGAACCCAGGCTTTGGAGCTAGTCAAGAGTTTGAATTACAGCTCTTGCCACTTTAGCTAGCTATATGACTTTGCATAATTTACTGTTTCTGAGCCTCAGTTTCTTGGGTAATAAAATAGACTAATAACATTTATATTCTGGGATGGGTGTGAGGATTCATGGAGACACGGATGTAAAGTTCTTGGCATATGGCAGGCATTGCATAAATGTTAGCTGCTTTCCTGGAGGATGTTTTTCTTCTCTCTTGTGTCTCATTTTCCCTCTGGTGACCTATTTTTTGACCACTTCACTGTCAATAGTAGTTCCTTAGAGGACAAGTCACCGTGGGAGGGTTGGCATCATCTGTGGTGTTAACCAGCCCATGTTCTTTTCCTTCCTTCCAGGATGTGCCTGTTGCTACGGAGACACAACAGCAACCCCTGGCAGGTTCCTGGCCCCTGCGGCTGGGATTCTGGCCTCAGAGAAGGCTGGCCCTGGGGACAGGGAGGCAGGGAGGGGCTCGGTTTGCCTTCTGGGCTGGAAGTCTGGGGGGAGGTATCAGCCTGGAATCTGTTGGAAGAACTTTGCTGGCTCCCTGCAAAAATGAAGCGCTTATCTTCCTGTCTCCATGGGGCTCTTGGAGTCTGGAGCGGAGTTCCTGCTTGGGCTGAGGTCCAGTGGCACTGGTCTGGGTGTGATGCCCAGACCCTGGGAGGGGGCCATAGCAGCCAGAGTGACACATAATCAAACTCCTGGCCCTCAGAATGGCACCTTCCCAGAGTAGGGTTGGCAACCATGTAGATGCTTGAAGAGTCCTGGTGGATGGTTTACCATTCTGCCTCAGCGAAGGCTGGCCAAGCCCGCCTGGTGAGGGTACTCTCGACATGAGCGAGCACTGCCACCTCTTCTTGTAGACTTGAACGTGACCGTGGGGAGGACTGTTTCAGATCACTGGGCCCCCAGGGGCTCCATTTTCCCCTTCCTAATCCTGCTCTTGATCCTGGGCAGCATGAGTGACTGTGGCTTTTGCTTAAACCAATTCACCATCCCAAATGAAGAAGGGAGTGGTAGTTGAGAGTGCCAGCAGACAGCCAGACTCCTGGGATCCAATCCTGCCTTCGTCTGTCCGGGCTGTGTGACTCTGCACAAACCATTTAGCTTATCTGTAAACCTGGGATAATTACAGCACCTTCCTTTTGAGATTATTGTGAGGGTTAGATGAGTTGATTATTGTAAAGACTTTAGATTCAACCCAGACATGTCGAGCCCACTAAATGTAAGCTATTATTGTCATTTTAAGGCGTACGTGCCTGTGAAGAGGGAGTTCCTGAGCAGAATAAAAATGGTATTATTCTTATTATTTGGTTTCTCTTGAAAAATGGGGAGTCGTGGCAGCACTGGCCCACCTTCCTGCTGGAGTGAGTTGCGGCTGCCTGGTGCAGGCAGGTGGGGCACCAGCTCCTCCATTTGCA